GCCGGGGGGCGGCCGGGGGGCGGCCGGGGGGCGGCCGGGGGGCGGCCGGGGCGTGCTCATTGGCCGTGTGCGCGGTGCGGCCCCCTGGATATTGCAGGGCGTTCCAGTGTTCCATTGGCAGTAAGGCGGGCGGGAGGTGAGGTTCGGGAGCTGAGCTGGGGTTTCCTTGTTTTTTTCTTTTTCTTTTTTCTCGTAGTGTGTGTGCTTCCGGTCTCCACCGGCTCCGCGTTCTGGGCTGGGTCGGGGACCGCGCGGTACGGCGGTGGCGAGCACAGATGCGATTACAGCGCGCTCCACCGGCCAGGACGCCGCAGCGACGCACTGGGGGGAGGGGGAGGGGCACCTCCTGGAACAGTTGCTGACAACCACATGGCGGGCGCACTGGCGCAGCGCGAGTTTGGTGGTGTACCGGCGTGAATAGGGTACACGGGAAAAAGAGTCCCTTCATGTCCAAGGACCGCATCCGACCGATTGAAGGCCGCCCCCTATGTCCCTATACCCACGTCCTTGAATCGGCCCGATGGTCCTTCGATACCAAGGAGCCGTGTTTTTTGAAACCGTGTGTATTCCGCTGCAACACGATCGGAACCTGTAGAGAGGGAAAATCATGACTCTTGTTTTCTGATGAACGTGGGAGAGGGAGACGGTGACATCGGAGTGGCGGGCAGCCTGTCCTGTTCGAAGCGGAACACCCTGTTGGAATACGCCGAGCGTCGTTGTTGATCGAGGACCCGTCCCCAAAGTACGTAACATATTTATGTACAACGTCGGTTTTATCGAATACTTCTTTTCCCCCCTATTCTGCGAAACTGCTAATAACGGGGGAAGTGCCCCCGGCCGCTTCCCGTCGGTTCGCCTCTTGCGCGGGCCGCCGGAGCTTTGGGGTCCCGCCCCTGCTCTGACGTGAGCGAGCCGCCCCCCAGGCGCGGCGGGCGGCTCGTGGGGGCCGAGACGACGACGTCGCCGAGGTCGCCGAGGTCGCCCGGGGGGTCCTGCCTGCGGCCGAGCCTGCGGCCGACAGAGGCGGGGTCCACTCCGGCTCTGTCCGCGGCCGCCACCGAGGCCCCGTGGGGAACGTGCCGTGCGCCGGCCCGGCTCAAAGGCGCTCTTTGAAACAGCGCGCCACGAGCGGGAGGAAGGGGGAAGGGGAGGCTCCCCTTTTCTTTTTCAAATCTCCCGCCCGCACCGCGTCTGCGCCGCTTCCGGTCGCGTCCGCCCCACTTCCGGCCGCCCTGAACGATAAGGTGGTCGCAGCTTCCGACTTCCGCGCGGGGAGTGGAACGCTCCAGCGGGAAGGACGGAAGCCTGGAACGTTTGGAGTTCGCGGGAGCAGCGGGAATATGGCCTCGCCGGGACTCAAGTTGGCTGCAGTCTCCGTATCACTGCCATCTCCCTGCCTCCGCTTGGCGCTCCTTTGCCTTTCGCCACAAATGTCCCCGTGTTTCGGCTCTCGTTAGGGCCATTGTTCACCTCCTCCTCCCCCCCCCCC